TGACACTCCATTTATTTTCCATCACTCGAACACTGAAAAGTAAAAAGATATATGAAATCAGATCCATTAAATTCTAAGATTTGATTTACATTTCTAATTAAAATTGTTTTTGATCATACGTATAGATAATTATATAAAAATTCCAAAATTCTAAAATTTCAAATACATACAAAAACAATCATATGTAAATTTTAAATTTTTGAATATTAAAATTTTATATTTTAATTACATATATTCACCATGCGCAAGGCGCAGGTCTTATCCTAGTATATATATATATTGTAAGAGTAATGTTGTTTTCATTTTTTAATGTTTTAAGTTTGTTTTAAAACAATGTGTCCGTTCAAAAGTTAGTTGATTTGAAAGAATGTGTTTATTCAATAATCAAACATATGTGCCTTTTCATTATAGTTTTATTCATAACTGTTTATTATATTTTTTCGTAATTGTTCATGGTAACGACAGAATCAAACATTCTTCTTAACTGATTCATCTTCTTCGCGAGTGCAGAGGTTGTCATAGACTCATAAAGTCAAAGTCTCGTTTCTTTCTAATGTTGTTCGTTTTTCTGGTCTGGTTTATGTGTAAGTACGTACGTAGGTCTTTGATGCAGTACAAATGGCGTTAACTGTAGTACACAGTACTTGCATTATTGTTATTATAATGTATTCATTGAGATACATGTAATCCAGACTCTCCACTCTGAATCTGAAGTTGATTAAAAAGTATTCATTGGGATCCTTCATTTCTATGAAGTTGATTAAAATAATTTTTCGTGAATTTATGTTTATGTTCTTGTTCTTAAATTATTATTATTTTCAAATTAAGAAGGTAGTTAAATTTTTCGTGAATTTATGTTAAATCTTTCTAAGCGAATCTAAAGCCATTGTTATGGGTTTATGTGTTGTATCCTTGAGACGTTTTGTTTTGTTTTTCTGCTACTTGTTATCCCATTTTAGTCTTGGCTCTTTCTAGGCGTCAGTGTATAATAATAAAAAAAAAAAACGTAAACAAGACGTTGAGGGATATTTTTGAGGATTGAATTGAGTCTGTGGTTTATGTTAAAACTTTTTAAGATGAGCGGTCCAATTCATTGGCGAGTGGGACACTAACTTAGAGAATCAACCGAACTCCACGCGTTGACGCAAAAGACTTGCTATAAGTCACAGCCCGAGAAAGGGGTTTCTACGTTTTCTTCTTCTTCTTAAAGAAAGCGAGTGAAGCATACAACATAACCATCCATTACTTACAACATATATACTCAAAAACCAAAGAAAAAGATGATTCAAAACTATTGTTATTGCTTTTCTGGTATTATTATTACTATCTATTTCTGCCTCCTAATTCACGCTCTTGCTTCTCCTTCACTCCACTCTTGCCGCCATGACCAGAAGAAGGCTCTTTTGGAATTCAGAGACGAGTTTCCGACTGGTGATCCGTATGATTTACGTCCGTGGAATAAGAGCAGTGATTGCTGTCATTGGGAGGGTGTCACATGCGATGATAGATATGGCCAGGTGATATCACTCGACCTTTCTGAGATGTCTCTCAATAGCTCTCTAAAAACTAATAGTAGCCTTTTTAGACTCCAATATCTTCGTCACCTAAACTTTTTTCGGTGCGATCTCCAAGGAAACATTCCTTCTTCATTAGGAAATCTTTCTCGTCTCACACTTGTTGACCTTTCTTATAATAATTTGGTAGGTGAGATTCCGGCTTCAATAGGTTATCTAAACCATCTGACAGAGCTTAGCCTTTCATTCAATCATTTGGTAGGTGAAGTTCCTGTTTCTATGGGAAACCTAAATGGTCTAAGAGTCATTGATCTTGGCGGCAATAGCTTGGGTGGCCATTTTCCTATTCTATTCGCCAACTTAACTAAGCTTACCGATTTAGACATCAGCTTTAATAAATTCACATCCATACTTCCATCAGACATGAGTGGATTTCACAACTTGGAGCTTTTCGATGTTTATGATAACTCATTTGTAGGGCCTTTACCTAAATCGTTGTTCTCAATTCCTTCATTACAATCTTTATATTTGGGAGAAAATCAATTTATGGGACCTATACAGCTTGGGAATACATCTTTGTCAGCCTTTGAGCTTAAGAATCTAGACCTTTCTGATAACAACTTTGATGGCCCAATCCCGGAATGCATATCTGGATTTATCAACCTCTCCCACCTATACCTTGACCACAACGATTTCACTGGGTCAATCCCTAGATTTTTATCAAAGTTAGTCAATCTCGAGATTTTACATCTTTCCAACAATAAGTTGACTGGCGAAATACCACGTTTCATATGGGAAAATATGTGGAATACTTTTTCTGACAATCGTTTCAGCAATTTGGAAAACACCTCACAAGTAATATATCTGTCATTGTTGGATCTGAGTTCGAATTTATTTCGAGGACCATTTCCTCATTGGATCTGCAAGATTAAAGAGCTAAAATTGTTATATTTGTCTAACAATTTCTTCTACGGTTTGATTCCATCATGTTTAAGGAATAACATGGTTAATCTTAAAGAACTAATTCTGAGCAACAATAGTTTCAGTGGAGTTATTCCAGATATATTTTTCAATGCTACGTCTCTACGATCATTCGATGTTAGCCGTAACCAGCTGGAGGGAAAGTTTCCAAAGTCCTTGATCAACTGCAATGCTCTTCAACTTGTGAATGTAGAGAGCAACAACTTCAAGGACAAGTTTCCATCATGGTTGGGATCTCTGCCGTCATTACGTGTTCTCAGCCTCAGATCCAACGAGTTCTATGGGCCATTGTGTCATCGCCAAAATTCCATTGGATTTCGGAGTTTATTAGTGATCGATGTCTCTCATAATGACTTCACTGGAACTCTTCCACCTCACTATTTTTCCAGTTGGTTTGAAATGACCAAATTAACCCCAAGAAACAGCTACATGTTTGATTTTTATGACGTGGGTGACTTTACATACTATCGCTCGATTGAATTGGTGGTCAAAGGAGTAGACATGAGGTTTGAGCGAATCCGTGAAGACTTCAGAGCCATCGATTTTTCTGGAAACAGATTTCATGCCAAAATCCCTGTATCCATTGGCTTCTTGAAGGAACTGCGTCTACTCAACATGTCACACAACACATTCACAGAAGATATCCCACGAAGCTTGGCAAATTTGAAGAATCTCGAGACATTGGATCTATCTAGTAATAAGCTGTCAGGTGAAATCCCTCAAGATCTTGGTAAGCTCTTTTTTATGTCATACATGAACTTCTCCCATAACCGTCTCCAAGGTCCAGTGCCACGAGGCACACAGTTTCAAAGGCAGAATTGTTCTTCATTCACGGACAACACCGGACTCTTTGGTTTTGAAGAAATCTGTGGAGAAAGACATGTCCCGGAGCCTCCTACTTCACAACAACACGAGGAATTGGCAGAGGAAGAGGAAAAGATGGTCAACTGGGTTGCAGCTGCAGTAGCTTATGTACCTGGTCTTTTCTGCGGATTTGTGATCGGATACATTTTCACTTCATACAAACAAGAATTGTTCACATAAAAGTTTGGTCGAAGAAAACTCAGAGGCGTCACAATCTCTTGCAGTCTTTTGTAATAAGCATTTCTAATGCATATCTTGTCCAACGTATGTATATGTACTGAACTGATTTGGTTGTGTTCGTTTGTAATTTCTATTTAATGCTTTTGTAATAAACTGTGTTTGGTGGCATTCAGTATATGTATCTTGGCTTACAAATATAATATGTGAACTTAGGGATGTTAAAATGGGTAAAATAACCCAGCCCTGCCCAACCCAGTTTACTCTACCAGCGAAAACCCAGAAACATCAAGGTTAAATTAAAACCCAAAAAAAATAATTCAGTAGGATATAGGTTAACCCATGGGTACCCAAGCTACTATTTTATTTGTTCTAAAGAGATTATGCATAATTTGTTTTCCTAGAAACTAGTTTTTCCAGTATGGCCGGAAACTCATTTTCCGGTTTTGGCGAGAAAACGCATTTCTGATTTTGTCGGAAAAATTCGATTTTTTTGGAATTTTTTTTGCAGAAAACTCATTTTACGAAAAACGCGGTTTTGCGGAAAACACGTATTGGCGGGAAAAACGTTTTTTGCGGTTTTGGCGGGAAAACAAGTTTTGTCGGGAAAACACGTTTTCCGGTTTTGTCGGGAAAACACGTTTTTCGGTTTTGGCGGGAAAACACGTTTTTACGGTTTTGGCGGGAAAACACGTTTTAACGGTTTTGGCGGGTAAACACGTTTTTGCGGTTTTGGCGGGAAAATACAATTTTGTGGTTTTGGCGGGAAAACACGTTTTGTGGTTTTGGCGGGAAAACACATTTTTGCGGTTTTGACGGGAAAACACGTTTTTGCAGAAAAACATTTTTTCCGGTTTTGGCGGAAAAACATCTTGGAGTTTTGGCGAAAAAATCGTTTTTCCGATTTTGCAGGAAAAGTCAATTTTCCGATTCTGGCGAAAAAAAACTCGTTTTACAATTCTGACGGATAAATTCATTTTTTTAAGTTTGGACAGAAAAAACAAAATTATGGATTATTTAAAACATTAAAAAAAGATATTAAAATAGTGAAAATCATAATGTTATCAAATTAAAACCCATGGGTACCCATTACCCTCTTGTATTTACCCAATCTAATATGGATTTTAAAATTTTATACCCATATTTAGCCCAATTAATTTTAGATGGGTAAAAACACAACCCATTATCAATGGATTTGGATAAACCCATAGGTTACCCATGTTAACATCCCTAAGTGAACTTCCTCCTACTCGAGTCTTAAACTTACCGTGGTCTAATGAAAAGTCTTCCTTCGCGTATATACAGCTTCACTTGTATTACAACCTGTTTTCATTTATAATCCGTATATACAGTAATAATCAATTCTATTAATTTATAATCCTATTTTTCATCACTTATAAAAGCTGTCATTTAAGTTTAGACCTATTCTCATCTCACTATGAATAAATATAATGTCCTTTATAATTCGATTACACAATATATGTATTCTGTTTAAGTATTATATTTCTATACAATACAATAATCAAAATTAACCAATACAACGTACTTACCAATTATCGAAATATTTACATAATCATATACTCATCAAGTTTGACCCGATTCAAATACGATAATTTCGGTTAGCATCGTAGTATGTAAAAAGGTTCTTATTCATATATCGTCATCAAGACACATCAATAAAACCATAGAAATATGGCGACAAAACGATTATTGGCGATTTTCTGGGTGATCCTCGTCGGTTTCCAGAATTTTTATTTTCTCATCACAATCTTTGTGGTTCGAGTGTCTAGATGTTGTGAACGTGGGATTAACACACGATGTACCCACGATTTGCTCTGTTTTTCCATGTGGGAATCGGTTTCTCATCGTGATGGGTTCGTGGTTTTGAAAACTGTCAAGGCTATATATAAATGGCCTTGGGAAATCTCGTTAACCACCCTCATCTTTTTGCTAATTCGTTCTTCTCTAACAACTAGAAACATGACTGAAAACGTTCGACGTGCGATTCAAGATATCGATCTTGGTAGCAATGATACTCCATTTGCGTTACCTGCTGCTGTTGTTCGTCAGGCTGTTGAAGAAAACCGTTTCTTACTGGTGGGACGACCATCTATTCCGCGCAAACAGAATCTGCGTGGTATTATTGCAACAATGCCTAGAGTCTGGGGTCTGGAAGGCTTGGTTCGTGGTCGTGTTATCGAAGGGAGGAGATTCCAATTCATCTTCCCTAGTGAAGAAGCAATGGATACAGTGTTTAGGAGGGGGCCGTGGACGTTTGCTGATCGAATGCTGACCCTTCAGAAGTGGACGCCATTAATGGATATGGCACTGTTGAACTTCATTCCATTTTGGATTCAAGTTAGTGGAATTCCTTTCCAATTCTTAAACAGAGAAGTGGTCATTCACATTGCGCGTGCTATGGGGCAATACATACAAGTAGATTACAATGAAGAATCAGGTACAAGACAGGAGTTTGTACGCATCAGACTCAACTGGGACATAACTCAAACGCTGAAGTTTCAACGTAACTTCCAGTTTACACCAGGGGTCAACACTTTGTTGAAATTCTATTATGAGAGGCTCAGAGGTTTCTGTGAGACTTGTGGGATGATTACGCACGACTCTGGACGCTGTCTTATTCAAAATGGAGGACCGGAGGAGGGACCTGATGATGATAATGAGGGAGGAGATGATGATGAACAACACGACATCCCACATGGAAATGTTGGTGTCCATATTGAAGAGATTAATGATGCAGATGCAGGCCAAGAAGCGAATGTACAGATGGGAGATGCTGAAGAGGGAGAGATTCCAGATGAGGCAAATGAGGAGGTCTCCTACATGAAGGCAGATACTGACAATGAAGATGATTCTGAAATATCTGCGTATGATAATGATGATGAGGAGTTCTGGAATCCTTCTGCAAAGTCAACCATGTTCTCAGAAGATTATAACATGGAAGAGATGTTCTCTGTTGCACCTTTCGCTGACAACAATGGCAGACGTGAGCCTCTGAAGAGGAAAGCTTGGTTAGATGATGCTGAGAACAACAAAAGGAAGTTTTCTCGAAAACTTTCTATCGGTGAATCAAGCAACACACAAGGAAAGCAGTACAAGAAGAATCACACTGCAACGACTGAAGTTGAAGGAGAGGTTGCAGTGGCTACAACACAAGAGGAAAACATTCACAAGGTGAGAGGCGCGGTGGGCCCTGAACCACCACTTCCACCATGAGAACAGCCTGCTGGAACTGTCGAGGTTTAGGCAGTGACTCGACAGTTCGACGCCTAAAGGAGATCAATAGAAAGTATCTCCCGGACATCATTTGTCTATCTGAAACAAAACAACAAGATGACTGCATTAGAGATGTGTGTGCACAACTTGGGTTTCCTCATTATGTATCGGTTCCTCCTAGGGGTTTAAGTGGTGGTTTAGTCATTTATTGGCATCAGCATGTAAAGCTTTCAGTTCTCAGTCAATCTCCTAATCTTATAGATTGTAATCTCAGTATCAATGGAAGCACTTCTTTTTATTTCTCCTTTGTCTATGGTCATCCGAATCAAGCTCAAAGATCTCATGTATGGGAACAATTTGAACGTATTGGTATTAATAGACGACATCAACCATGGATGATATTGGGTGACTTCAATGAAATTTTGAGTAACCAAGAGAAGATTGGTGGTAGAGAACGATCAGCATCAACTTTTCAAGATTTTCGAAACATGGTCAGAAAAAATGACTTATTGGATCTTAAAGCTGTAGGAAACAGGTTCTCCTGGGTTGGTAAAAGGGGAACACATAACATTCAATGTTGTCTTGATCGAACAATGGCCAATGGAGCTTGGTTTACTGAATTTCCTGCTTCTGAAACAGAGTTTTTGGAAATAGGAGAGTCTGATCATAGACCTTTGGTATCATTTATCTCCTATGACAAAGAAGAACCAAAGAGAGTTTTTCGTTTTGACAGTAGAATGTCAACCAAGGAAGGCTTTAGTGATGTAATATACCGTGGATGGAAAGGAACGGGACAACTACAATTACTTCAACAACCTCTGGCTCAACGTTTAAAAAGATGCAGAAATCAGATTTCACTTTGGAAGCGACATAACATGAGTAATTCTGAGGAACGTATTAAGATTCTGAGAAGAACACTAGACAATACTATATGTTCAGATCAGACCACAACACAAGATGTTGATATAATCAAAGAGGATCTCAACTAAGCATATATGGAAGAAGAAATATTTTGGAAACAAAGGAGCAGAACTATGTGGTTAAGAGGAGGAGATAGGAACACCAAATATTTCCATTCTATTACGAAGGCAAGACGTCATAGAGTACAACTAACATCTCTCCAAGATGGTCATGGAGTGATTCAAAGAGGTCACAAGCAGATTGCAAAAGTAGCACAAGATTATTTCCAAACGCTCTTTGGGGTTACTACGGATCATTCTAGCCATTTACCAGGGGTCTTTCAACATTTCCAACGAAGAGTTACAGAAGAGATCAATGCAGATCTTACTAAAAGAGTTACGGTTGCAGAAATTGATGAAGCATTATTTGACATAGAAGCTCACAAAGCACCCGGGCCAGATGGATTCTCTGCTATTTTCTACCACCAGTATTGGGAAGATATAAAACCAGAAGTAGTGGCTGAGATTATGAAGTTTTTTGAAGAAGGTTCTCTTGATCCTAGCCTGAACCACACCAATCTTTGCTTAATACCCAAGGTCTACCCACCAACCAATATGACTGAGTTTAGGCCAATTGCTTTATGTAATGTGGCTTATAAAGTCATATCTAAAATCCTAGTGAACCGTTTGAAACCACATCTGAGTGCTTTAGTATCTGAGAATCAGGCAGCCTTTATTCCAGGACGTATGATCTCGGATAATGTGATCATTGCTCATGAAGTCATTCATTCTCTCAAGGCTCGGAAGAGACAATCAAATTCATACATGGCGATCAAAACCGACATTACTAAAGCATATGATCGATTACAGTGGAGCTTCTTATAGGAAACTATGAAACACATGGGTTTTGCTAGGCAATGGATAAGCTGGATAATGACATGTATTTCTTCTGTCACTTATTCAGTCTTGATTAATGGATCCCCTGAAGGTTATATAATACCACAGAGAGGTATTAGACAAGGTGACCCATTGTCACCTTATCTTTTTATCCTATGTGCGGAAGTTTTATCACATATGATGAATGTAGCTATGATGGAAAGAAGTCTTGGTGGGATAAAGATAGCAACACAAGCTCCAGCAGTCAATCATCTGCTATTTGCAGATGATTCTCTGTTCTTTGCTTTGGCTAATGCAAAAGCTGCAAATAAACTGAAAAAGATATTTGAAGTTTATGAAGCTATTTCAGGCCAAGCTGTCAATTTGTCTAAATCTTCCATCACATTTGGTTCACGAGTATCAGAGAATGTCAAGACAAATATGCGGAACATATTGGGAATACATAATGTGGGAGGAATGGGCAAATACTTGGGACTTCCGGAACAATTTGGGAGGAAGAAAAGTGAAATGCTGAGGTATATTGTTGATAGAGTAAAGAAAGTTACACAAGGTTGGCATCAGAGATTCTTAACCCCTGGAGGCAAAGAGGTGCTCTTAAAGGCAATTGCTCTTGCCTTGCCTATCTATACAATGAATATTTTTAGGCTAACGAAAGAAATATGTGAAGAAATAAATGCTATTCTTGCAAAGTTCTGGTGGGGAACAGGTGAGAAAAGAGGAATTCATTGGTTCACATGGAAACGTGTGTGTATCCCAAAGAGAGAAGGTGGATTGGGTTTTCGAGATTTAGAATGCTTCAACCAAGCATTACTTGGAAAGCAAGTTTGGCGCATCATGCAGAACCCTGAGTGCTTAATGGCAAGAATACTCCGCGCTAGGTACTTCCCTGATGGAAACATTATTAATGCAACACTAAAGAAAAAGGCTTCTTATGCCTGGAAATCTATTCTTTATGGGAAAGATTTAGTTAAGAAAGGAATGAGGTTTGTTATTGGTAATGGAGATTTGATAAATATGTGGACTGATGCATGGATACCAGACCACCCTCCATGCCCACCGAGGTCTTTATTACCATTTCCTCCTGCTTGTAAGGTCAATGCCTTCTTCTCAGATGATCGTCACCGCTGGAATGAAAGCAAGCTTCGGGAGTTTGTTGTTCCTGAGGATGTTGATAAAATACTAACTATTAAAATCAGTTCAGTGGCGAGACAAGATCTTCTGGGATGGAATTATAATGAGGATGGTATTTATACAGTGAAATCCGGTTATTGGGTTAGCTCTCATTTGGATAATCTTGACCTCATACCAGAGATACCTGGGAGTGTTGAAATCAAACAGCGAGTATGGAAAACAAAGGCACCACCTAAATTAAAACATTTTTTATGGCGGATGCTGTCACAGAGCCTACCTATTGGTTCCAACCTCAAAAGACGACATATAACTCAAGATGCTATCTGGAAACGATGTTATCAAGAAGAGGAAACAGAGGAACATTTGTTCTTTGGATGTAATTATGCCAAAATGGTTTGGCGAGCTTCTGGAATCTCAAACAACATCATTAATAATGGTACTCTTTCTTTTGAACAAAAGATTGAGGAATGTATTAAATGTTGTACTTCTTCGACTTTGGTACATATGCAAGACCTTCCTATATGGATTCTATGGAAAAGTCGTAATATGCTTATATTTCAACATAAGGTCCTCTATTGGCAAGTGCTACTTCGTCAAAGTGTAGCTGATGCGAAAGAATGGATTGATTTTGGAATCAAGGAGTCAGAGCAAATACAAAGACGAGATAATACTATTATAGTACGTGGTGCTACAAGGTGGAAGAGACCTCTTCATGATTGGTTAAAATACAACATAGATGCCGGCTTTACAAATAATGTGACCCCAAGTAAGGCTGGATGGGTTATACGTGACCATCACGGAAGTTATATTGGTGGAGTTCAAGCTGTTGGTGATATAGTTAAAAATGTTTTGGAAGGTGAATTACAGGCAATTTTAATGGCCTTTCAACATGCATGGAGTAGAGGTTATAAGAAAATTTGCGTTGAATCGGACTGCAAGAAAGCCATTGAGATTTTGAATGGTAAAGTACTACACTTTGATGCCTATAATTGGAAGCGGGAGATATTATGGTGGAGAAATAAATTCGATCAAGTGTTACTTCAATGGATTGGCAGAGATGGAAACAAGGTTGCAGACAAGTTGGCTAAACACCCAATCCAAGATAATGTTTTGTTCAAATTTCATCACTATGTCCCAATGTTTATAACCTCTGAACTTCATAATGACTATGTAAACTCGATTCCAAATTAATAAAAGTTAAGTGTTTAAAAAAAAAAAAAAAAAAAAGACACATCAATAAAACAAAGATAATTTGTGACGTATAACATGCTTTTGTTCGTAAAAGTTTTCCTACATTATTACATTCTAAATTATTGTTTTTTAAAGTTAAGAAGGTAGTATTTTAATGATTTGCCACTTTTTCTTGAATGATTATATTTGTATTTGTATTCACTTTTTGTTATACTAGGGGAGGGCCGGCGCTACGCCCCGGATTTCTATTGTAAAATCTAATTTTTAACATAAGAATGTATGTGTTTTTTACACCAATTTGCAGTACAAAATCTAAAGAAAAGATGAAATGACGTTTCAAAAATTTATAGTGATAAACCTGATAGGTTGATCAATAAAAGAAAATGATAAATCAATATAGCATCATATTATGTATGAAATGAAGAGGATATGAGAGACGAAAGAACTGTCAATGTACATATCCTGAACCGATCTTACCTGGGATCGCAAATCCCAATTTTGTTTTCTTTTCTTTTACTTTGGCCAATATGAGTTCACCTGGTACTAGTCGAGTCATGACTTCGCCCTCAGGTGGGAGGAGAAACTCTGATAACTCTTTTAAGTTTGTGAACATCCACAAATAATTAAAGTAGTTGACGTGTCATGCCAAAATCAGATTTTGAATTATTTGATGTGGAAACTGTAAGATCTCATGTCTCTTGCAAACCACAAACCGTTATGAACGACTTTGGACGCCATTGGTATAGGATAAGTGCGATGGATACACCATCATTGTTCACACGTGACTTCACTGTGGTTAATGGTTCAATTACTTTCGGACTATATTCAGCTTATACTCGGTTAAAGTTGGATGCAATCTTATGACTAACAAACCTTAAAGAAGTAGGGTCTGAACTGAGAAAGCAAACCTAGATAGCGGCTGCTAGAATCTTCCATGTAACCTTCTTGGATTAGCTTACAAACTGATGTCGTCTGGTTGACTTCACCACCCAACATGTTGTGAAGCTCTATAATGAATAGGGGTTACATATTGCATCTAATGGTACAAAGCTTAACAAAAAAAAGGTGAATCAATAATTCACTTTAACACCATCTTTATATATCTATCATTTTTTCTTGTGTATGAAACCTAGTAAGAAGCCAGAGTCTCACACTTTCATGTACATGTAGTCTTAAGCAGTTGTATTTCTCCCTTTTTTTGAGCAGCTTTAGTACTCTACAATTACATCCATTTTTCACAAACTTGAATTTGCTTCATGGTGTATATTTAGGGTTTAGTTAATGGTGAAGATATAAATAAAAAAACAAAGAGAACTAAAATTAAATCAGTAAAAAATGATTTATTATATACCTCATTTCTGTTTTTGATGTATGCATCCTACCATGTTCTAGAAAGAACACGGTTTGTCCAGCTGGTTCATGGTTTCTGAAAGTTAGGGAGTGATCAATTAAAGGAGGAATATAGATTCTCAAGTTGTATATTTCATCTTAGGTGCTTCAAGGTTTTTTTTTTTAGAGTAACTTTCATTAAAACTTGATTTATCTACAATCAGTGAAATAATAAATAACATGACTTAAAACGGTCTGAAATTTAATATGCAAGAATTTGGTTATATTTTCAAAGGGGTAAAGGAAGAAGAAGAACAAATTACTACTGAGATAACTGGGAAGTTTGAAATAACATCTGTGAGCTTTAGAGTTTTGAATATGCGGGAGCTGATCCAGTCCATAACGCTTTCTAACTGCTAGTGAGCCTCAACAGAATCATTTGTGTGGAGATATTTATAGTATGAGTTTTTCCTAGTTACTCTAGGAAGGGGATAAACTTAATTGAATGCTTAAGAGTGGGGAGAGTGGGTCAATGCGACCTCGAGGCGTTACAGAGAAGCGACCGTCTGACTTTGGTCTCTATAACTTAGGTCGGATGTGGACGAATGCGCAGCGAAGAATACGATTCACTGCGCCTCTTAACAAAACATATTAAACACTGTGTAGAAGATCAAACCCGTTTAAAATATTTAACAAATTTCTATAGAAGCCCAAAACCCATTAAAAAATCAACAAATAAGAATGTGACAAGTGTATTAATTCCCCACAAAGAGTAAAAATTTCTCTATAATGAACAGTGGTTACATATTGCATATAATGGTACAAAGCTTAACAAAAAAAAGGTGAATCAATAATTCACTTTAACACCATCTTTATATATCTATCATTTTTGCTTGTGTATGAAACCTAGTAAGAAGCCAGAGTCTCACACTTTCATGTACATGTAGTCTTAAGGAGTTGTATTTCTCCCTTCTTTTGAGCAGTTTTAGTACTCTACAATCACATCCATTTTTCACAAACTTGAATTTGCTTCATGGTGTATATTTAGGGTTTAGTTAATGATGAAGATATAAATAAAAAAACAAAGAGAACTAAAATTAAATCAGTAAAAAATGATTTATTATATACCTCATTTCTGTTTTTGATGTATGAATCCTACCATGTTCTAGAAAGAACACGGTTTGTCCAGCTGGTTCATGGTTTCTGAAAGTTAGGGAGTGATCAGTTAAAGGAGGAATATAGATTCTCAAGTTGTATATTTCATCTTAGGTGCTTCAAGGTTTTTTTTTTTAGAGTAACTTTCATTAAAACTTGATTTATCTACAATCAGTGAAATAATAAATAGAATGACTTAAAACGGTATGAAATTTAATATGCAAGAATTTGGTTATGTTTTCAAAGGGGTAAAGGAAGAAGAAGAACAAATTACTACTGAGATAACTGGGAAGTTTGAAATAACATCTGTGAACTTTAGAGTTTTGAATATGCGGGAGCTGATCCAGTCCATAACGCTTTTTAACTGCTAGTGAGCCTCAACAGAATCCTTTGTGTGGAGATATTTATAGTATGAGTTTTTTCTAGTTACTCTAGGAAGGGGATAAACGTATTTGAATGCTTAAGAGTGGGGAGAGTGGGTCAATGCGACCTCGAGGCGTTACAGAGAAGCGACCGTCTGACTTTGGTCTCTATAACTTAGGACGAATGCGCAGCGAAGAATACGATTCACTGCGCCTTTTAACAAAACATATTAAACACTGTGTAGAAGATCAAACCCGTTTAAAATATTTAACAAATTTCTATAAAAGCCCAAAACCTATTAAAAATCAACAAATAAGAATGTGACAAGTGTATTAATTCCCCACAAAGAGTAAAAAAATCAACTTTATTATTAAAGATTTTGTTTACGTACGTTATAAAATAAAATAATAGTTTACTAAGCGAATCTAAAGCCATTGTTACTTATGCGTTTATGTGTGTTGTATCCTTGAGACGTTTTGTTTTCTTTTCCTGCTACTTGTTATCCCACTTAGTCTTGGCTCTTTCTAGGCCACAGTTTATAATGAAAAAAAACGTAAATAAAACGTTGAGAGATTTTTTATGTTAAAACTTTTAAGATGAGTGGTCCAATTCACTGGCGAGTGGGACAGTAACTTAGAGAATCAACCGAACTCTACGCGTTGACGCAAAAGACTTGCTAAGTCACAGCCCGAGAAAGGGGTTTCTACTTTTTCTTGCTTCTTCTTTTAAAGAGCGAGTGAAGCATACAACATAACCAACCATTACTTACAACATATACTAAAAAAAACAAAGAAAAAGATGATCCAAAGCCATTGTTATTCCTTTTCTGGTATTATCATTACTGTCTATTGCTGCCTCCTAATCCAAGCTCTTGCTTCTCCTACGGTCCACTTTTGCCGCCATGACCAGAAGAAGGCTCTTTTGGAATTCAGAGACGAGTTTCCGACTAGTGAGTTTAACGCAAGTCCATGGAATAAGAGCAGTGACTGCTGTCATTGGAACGGTGTCACATGTGATGATCGATATGGCCAGGTGATATCACTCGACCTCTCTATGACGTCTCTCAACAGTTCTTTGAAAGCTAATAGTAGCCTTTTTAGACTCCATTATCTTCGTCACCTAAATCTTAATTGGTGCGATCTCCAAGGAGAAATTCCTTCTTCACTAGGAAACCTTTCTCACCTCACACTTGTTGACCTTTCTTCTAATAGTTTGATAGGTGAGATTCCAACTTCAATAGGGTACCTCAACAATCTAAGAGAGCTTTCCTTTGAGTTTAACAATCTTACAGGAGAGATCCCTTCCTCACTAGGAAACCTTTCTCGTCTCAGGCTTGTTGACCTTTCTTGTAATAGTTTGATAGGTGAGATTCCAGCTTCAATAGGGTACCTCAACAATCTGAGAGAGCTTTCCTTAAAGGTAAACAATCTTACAGGAGAGATTCCTTCTTCACTAGGAAACCTTTCTCGTCTCACACTTGTTGACCTTTCTCAGAATAATTTGATAGGTGACATTCCAGCTTCAATAGGCTATCTAAACCATTTGAGAGAGCTTATCTTTGAGGTTAACAATCTTAGAGGAGTGATTCCTTCTTCAATAGGAAACCTGAATGAACTAAGAGTCATGGATCTTAGCGGCAATAGTTTAAGCGGCAAATTTCCTATTTCATTCGCCAATTTAACGAAGCTTACTTATTTTGACATCAACTCTAATAACTTCACATCCATGCTTCCATCAGACATGAGTGGATTTCACAACTTGGAAAGTTTCATTGTTTCTGAAAACTCATTTGTCGGGCCTTTCCCTAAATCATTGTTCTCAATTCCTTCATTAAAATTTTTATATTTGGAAGAAAATCAATTCACGGGACCTATACAGCTTGGGAATTCATCTTTGTCATCCTTTGAGCTTAAGAATCTAGACCTTTCTGATAACAGCTTTGATGGCCCAATCCCGGAATACATATCTGAATTTATCAAACTCACCGATTTACACCTTGACCACAACGATTTCACTGGATCAATCCCAAGATCTTTATCAAAGTTGGTCAAACTCGGGAGTTTACATCTTTCGTACAATAGGTTGACAGGTGAAGTACCAAGTTTCGTATGGAAAAATATGGACAGTACTTTGTCTCACAATCTTTTCAGCAGTTTGGAGAACACCTCACAAGAAACAGGAGTCTTGTTTTTGGATCTGAGTTCGAATTTAATTCGAGGACCTTTTCCTCATTGGATCTGCAAGATTAAAGAGTTAGACACGTTAGATTTGTCTAACAATTTCTTCAGTGGCTTGATTCCTTCGTGTTTAAGGAATTTTACGGTTACTCTTACAGAACTAAGTCTGAGCAACAATAGTTTCAGTGGCGTTCTTCCAGATATATTTGTCAATGCTACGGATTTACTATCATTCGATGTTAGTAGTAACCAGCTGGAGGGAAAGTTTCCAAAGTCCTTGATCAACTGCAAATCTCTTCAACTTGTGAATGCAGAAAGCAACAATATCAAGGACAAGTTTCCATCATGGTTGGGATCTCTGCCGTCTTTACGTGTTCTCAGCCTCAGATCCAACAATTTCTACGGGCCTTTGTATCATCATCGCCACAATCCCACTGGGTTTCAGAGTTTAAGAGTCATTGATGTCTCACATAATGACTTCACTGGAACTCTCCCATCCTATTATTTTTCCAGCTGGCGTGAAATGACCACATTAACCCAAGGAGACGACGACTACATGTCGAAACATTCCCTGAATAATTTTGTAATCTATCGCTCGATTGAACTGGTGCTTAAAGGAGTAGATATAAGGTTTGAGCGAATCCGACAAGACTTCAGAGCCATCGATTTTTCTGGAAACAGATTTTATGGCGAAATCCCTGTATCCATTGGCTTCTTAAAGGAATTGTGTCTCCTCAACATGTCACACAACACATTCACAGATGATATCCCACGAAGCTTGGCGAATTTGACAAATCTCGAGACGTTGGATCTCTCAAGTAATAAGCTGACAGGTGAAATACCTCAGGATCTTGGTAAGCTCTCTTTTATGTCATACATGAACTTCTCCCATAACCGTCTCCAAGGTCCAGTGCCCCGAGGCACACAGTTTCAAAGGCAGAATTGTTCTTCATTCACGGACAACCCTGGCCTCTTCGGCCTCGAAGAAATCTGTGAAGAAAGACATGCCACGGAGCCTCCTACGTCACCACAACAGGAGGAATTGTCAGAGGAAGAGGAAAAGATGGTCAACTGGGTTGCAGCTGCAATAGCCTATGTACCTGGCGTATTCTGCGGATTGGTGATCGGATATATTTTCACTTCAGACAAACGAGGATGGTTTGGTCGAAGAAAACTCAGAGTGACAAGAATTGCCCGCTAATCCTGTCTCTTGCAGTCTTTCAAATAAGCATTTCTAAAGCTATCTTACTACGTTCTGTTTCGTATTTGTGTGTTTTCCAAAAGATTCGGTTGTGTGTTGTTTGTAATTTCTACTTAATGTCTTGTAATAAACTGTATTCCGTGGCATTCAGTATATATGTATCTTGGCTTGAAAATATAATACTTCCAAACTAGTGTTGTTTTGCACACAAATTAAAAAATAGTTTAATGTTAAATTTACCACTGTTAGCCAAACCGTTTTAGAATTGTAAAAGAAAGAAATAGATTCCTTCCGTATATAATACATGACTTATTTGTATACAGAAAACAGTGTACCAGCCTTATTATGACCAATGAAGCAAGAAAACAAACAGAACAAAACTTACACAATTACCTGAAGTAGTAGTAAAGTTAATACGTGGAAGAACTCGCTGGCTGTGTTGGAGATTTGTTAAACTCGCTTTTTATGACGTGTTGAGAAGACGCGGAGTTTCCCACAGCAGAAGCTTTGCTCGGAGAACCCCAATCTATCTTCATCCCAAGCTGGACTCCTCTTGGCTGCAGAAGCAGGCAATAGTAAGTTAACAAACACTATGCAGTGGTAAGGACTAAGGACGTGATACACTATTCCTAACGTACCGCATACCTGATGAATATCCTATTATCCTTGAAAAACACTATAGCATGTCCTTCCTCATCATTCTGATGCATTACACTCTCGTATGATTCATTATGATCCGACATGAGTTCTAATAATTAAGATGCTTAATTTTATACTTCGCCTTGTTCTTGTCTTGCTCCTTGTTAAAAAAAAAATAGATCAATCTAAATTAGTGTTAAACAAAACACTAATGTTAGTGCAAATCTACAAATTGATCTAATTTCTTTTGCTTTCTTGTATCTAATTTAAAAATTCATTAAATTACTTTTTTATCTACTAATAATAGCAATCCTCATTAATTCCAAAGGTTATGAATTTCATTATATTGAAAGGTTGTAACTTTTTAATATTTTAACTTTGTTTTGAAACAATGTATCCATTAAAAAGTTAGTTATTTTGAAAGAATGTGTCTATTAATAATTTTTAATATTTTAATAATTTTGAAACAATGTGTCCACTCAAAAGTTAGTTAATTTGAAAGAATGTTTTTGTTCAAAGATAGATATATATATATATATATTGTAAGAGTGATGTTGTTTTCATTTTTTAATGTTTTAAGTTTGTTTTAAAACAATGTGTCCGTTCAAACATATGTGCCTTTTCATTATAGTTTTATTCATAACTGTTTATTATATTTTTTCGTAATTGTTCATGGTACCTTTTTGTTATAAATGCATTCATTTTCTTAAGAAATTCTATTAATATAGCAATCCTCATTAATTCCAAAGGTTATGAATCTATTACTATAAAGAAGGGTTCTCCCTCTTTTGGGAGAGCCACGTCACTAATAGGAGAATTATGGTGTTGACATGTGGAGCATAACCAACACGCTGACGTTTAATCCAAACGTTTTGTTTATGGGCTCCAAGCTTTTATATCTTCATTTGTATGGGCCTTTAAGTTCTGGTCCATTTGGTGTTACGTGAAACTCCTCAAACTAATTAGGGTTCCTCTACTATCTCTGTCGCCGTCGACAAATTTCCTCAGAGCTTTCATGGCGTCTTTTCGTTTTCTCAATGTTTCTAGCATTGATCTTGCCATTAACTCACCACACACGATCCCTGCTACGAATTCACTATCCCTTCTCACAGTCGGTGTGTTCTCCAGTATAAATAGGTAAGCTATGATATCTTAAAAATCATTCCCAACCCTCACAATTCATAGTCATCTCATGGAACCGTATATTTTTAATTTTCTAGATTCCGAATTTGATTAATTATTTCTTCATCTATAGATGTTTGTCCTAAATTGTTTTGTGTTCAGATTAGAAATTTGATTGATGATTTCCTTATATGGGTTTTGTAAATTGTTGTTTTAAAATTTCGAATTTGATTAGTGATTTATTCATCCTTATATGTTTGTTTTCCAGATTCCAAATCTCATTAGTGATGTCTTCATCGTTTTTTTTTTTATGGTTTTTGTAAATTGTTGTTTTAAATTTTCAAATTTGATTAGTGATTTAGTCATCCTTATATGTTTGTTTTCCAGATTCCGGATTTCATTAGTGATGTCTTCAGCGTTGTTTTTTTTTATAATTGTTTAGATTCAAGATTCCGACTTTGACTAATAAATGATCTTTTTTTAATTATGATTGATGGGTGTTGCTTGAATGTAACTGAGATTAATATATGACACATTCAGTCTTTGATATTGGTTCTGGTTTTTTTCTCAGCTAGAACAAAGTGATGCAGGGTGCTCTTGGTCGTTCCGTTCCGCGTCTGATGAAATCCATCATGCCACCTTTAAAGCCTCCAAAAGGTTGTGTACTCTGCTTCTTGCAATATTTGTTTTATATTACTTGGTCTTTTCTCGCCAATGCCGCTCATACATATGTTTTGATATTTTATTTCAGCTGCTTCATGGTGATGACGGACTGCTTATTACATATATGCCAAAGGTATCATCTCACTCTCTCAAACCCCTCTGTTTTTTCCCATCTTTCTTTAGTGAAAACGACAATGGGTTTATACTGTATCTATCAATTTCCTAGCTAATTATACAGAACGTCGCAGATACTTTTTTTTTTTGAATATATGATCTGAAGAATTTCGTGTATTGAGAGTTGTGATAACGTCCCAAATACTCTAATTATTGTTTGAGCATCAGAGAGAGTAAAAAGATTGAAACATGATTCGATGCCTTTGCATAAAGGGTCTGAATATTTCTTATATTTTGTCTCAGCTTGATCAAATGCAACAACAACTAAGATGTGAAGAAGAAGAAGAGAGTAAAGGGGAAATGAGTAAACATGATTCAGATGCAGAGCTAAAAGGACATTTGTTAGATGAAGAAGAGACCAAAAGAGATAAAAGTCATGAACATGTCTGACTATCAAACTTAGAAGACTATGTTATATTGTTTTTCTTTATATTCTTATTTACTTTTTATACAAAGATCAGCATGAGTTTACTTCCATACAAAGATCCAATCTCCTCTGTTGCATGTTACGATATAAACCCATAAAATCTAGCATCAGTTTTATCACCAGTTTTGTGAATTACTTGAAAAGTAGAAGAACAAAATATCAGCATGAAGTAGGAATCTATCATGCATTTGGCCCAAATCTCCTCCTTCACAATTTACCCTATGGCACTCTACTTCGCCAGCTAACACTGCCCACCCACGATCACTACAAATCATAAATACTTTCCAAACCTGTAAGTTAGCAGAAGGTGGAGGTTTATTGATGAGCTTCAGCACTGAACAACAATTTTTGGGTTGGGCTTCGTATAAAATACCAAGGTTTTATGTTTAAGATGGACCAGAAATAAATAAAGCCCGGTGCTTTCAGATGACATAACAACGCCTTCATCTTCATATGGGTTTCTAACGAATGACTTTGAAGTCACAGTGGCGTCACGATTGTCGATTGGATTTACTAAAAAAAAACGTTTTCATTAACATCATCGACCTACTCATCCCACGATGTCTCATTCAATTCACCTCTCTTATCTCAGTGCTTACGGATCTACAACTATAAATAACCAACTTTGATTCTGTTAAGCTCATCACTTTCTTCTTCTAATTCATTGCAATCTTTACAAACCCCATTAGTGAAGATTTATAGGTATAGATCCGGAAAGGAGATCAATGGGAAAGGAGAAACCAAGGAAACTAAGGGAAGATTCAACGGTTGAGATTTCTTTATTGGTGATGTCTTGC